GGATCGAGTCCCACATCAGGCTCTCTGCTCAGCAGGGAGCCTGTTTCCCTCTCTCTCTCTCTCTGCCTGCCTCTCCATCTACTTGTGATCTCTCTCTGTCAAATAAATAAATAAAATCTTAAAAAAAAAATTAAAAAAAAAAAAGAAATTATGTGGAAATAATCCAAGCTTTGCAATGACTGTTCCTTATGTGATCCTGAAGTATTGTAAGATTCTAAATCCTTTCTTCCCTCTGATCTGTGGAGGCCGAGAAAATTAAGGCCATCCCACCTCGAGTTTAGCATTAGCACAAGTACAGGCATCTTAGCTTTGGCAGCCATCTCAGGCCCAAGGGTTGAACTTTCCCCTACTTTACTTTAGTTCCAGGGACCCCCACCCTACTTTAGTTCCAAGAAAGTACCCCACCCTGCAACAACCGGGCAACAGCTAATCAGCTTACTGCAGAAAGGTCTGAAACTTCTCCTCCCCACCCCGCCAAGCCTCTTGTAATGACCCATAAAAACCCCTGCCTTAACTAGCCTCGGGGTCCAAGTCCCTACTCCGATGTGTTGGGTATACTTGGGCCCAAGCTTAAGCTTGTAAAATAAACCCTCGTGTGATTGCATTGGTGTTGGCTCCTTGGTGGTCTCTTGGATGCGAAAACTTGGACATAACATGATCCAATCCCAGTTTTGCAAATATGGTAAGAGTGATTTCCTTAGAATTCAGATGTGATTATGTCAGTCTCCTACTTGAAACCTTTCCCCAACTTACCCCTTGCCTTTAAATGGAAGGCCCAACTCTTCAACATGGCCTCCATGGAGGGATAGGGTTGCCAATGCTCTGGTCTAGTCAGTGCTCTATTCTCTCCCTAATCCAATCCCCATCCCCACATACACTAGAGATTCAGCTCTTCCGAAGTTATTTATTTCCTCCAAAGTTCCTTGGCATTCTTTCATTCATGCTATTTTCTCTCAGCCTGGAGTGCTTTTCTGTTTTTCCTTCTACCCTCTTTTATTCCTTCCATGAATTCCACTATTTGACCCACAGCAAGCCCAGGCCAAGTCTATTTAGATTTCCCCTAGGTGTCCCTATAACACTGCAGATACCTCCAGTACTGGCGCTCCAGGCAAGGTAGGTAGTGAAAGATCAGGTGAGCAAAGATGACTGAGAAAGCAAATCATTCCTCAGGATGGGTGCAGTAGCCATTTCCTAGGTGTGGCAGCACAAAGCTTGCAAATGAGAGACATGAAGAATTAGGTATGGAAAAATCACTTGATCTGGGAAGGTGGGAAAATGACAGGAAAGACAAATTCTTATCTCACTGAGAGATTCAGTTCACCTCTCTGCTAACTAATATCAAGCTGAGTTGCTAATGGCATGATCATTATTTATAAACCTCCATATTTAGTAAAACTGTAATGGGAAATTAGGCAATTTCTGGAGATTTCTATGTATGAGTTCCAGTCACTAACTCCTATCTAAAAACTAAAACTTGGGGCACCTGGGTGGCTCAGTGGGTTAAGCCTCTGCCTTTTGGCTCAGGTCATGATCTCAGGGTCCTAGGATCTAGTCCCACAACGGGCTCTCTGCTCAGCGGGGAGTCTGCTTCCTCCTCTCTCTCTGCCTGCCTCCATCTACTTGTGATCTCTTTCTGTCAAACAAATAAATTAAAAAAATTTTTTAAATGTAAAAAAAAACCCTAAAACTTGATCTCTTGAAAGACAGATTATGTAAATTATTGACATATATATAAATTGAAAACTCTGTAATATATGTTGATTCTGTTGACATGTGATGGTAATCATCACACCAGGTAGTATTTTGAGATTTACTGTTGAATACATGACTATCTTGACTCTGTAACAGGTAGTTCAGCTGCATAAAAGCTGGCCCTCTTATAAAAAGGCAGAAGCAAAGAATATTAGATTTTAAATTGTTTTGTAACATTGGATTGACATTTCCCATAGAAACCCACAGTTCATTTCCAGTCAATAAGATTGACCTTCAATTATCTATTTTGTAACCTACCTGAAGCTCCATTTTGCCTCTTAAAAGCTTGTAGATATTTTCTGGATTTTCTTGTCACTAATGATGACTATTGCATATAGGTTCAAAATCCATGAGGTATCACTTACTTGGAGAATATGCAGACATAAACAGAGATAAAAGGAGAAAGCTCTATCACGTCATCTTAGAAATAATAGATAAGCAAGAATTTATTTACAAATCGTTCTTATACAATGGACATAGTTAAGATAATGATATTAATTTTATCCAGTAAAAATGTTCTTATTGTAGAACTTGGAGAATAGAATTTATTTTTTTTAAGTTTTTATTTGAATTCCAGTTAGTTAACTTACAGTGTAACATTAGTTTCAGGTGTATAATGTAGTGATTCAGCACCTCCAGACATCACCCGGTGCTCACCACAAGTGCCCTCCTTAGTCCACATCACCTGTTTCACCCATCCTTTCATCCACCTCCCTTCTGGTAACCAGCAGTTTGTTGTCTAGAGTTAAGAGTCCATTTCTTGGTTTGCCTCTCTCTTTTTTTTCCCCTATGATTGTTTGTTTCCTTTCTTAAATTCCACGTATGAGTGAAATCATATGGTATTTGTATTTCTCTCACTGACTTATTTTGCTTAACATAATACTCTAACTCCGTCCATGCAATTGCAAATGACAAGCTGTCATTCTTTAAAGCTGAGTAATCTGTTTTTTTATATATGCTGCGTGTTCTTTATCCATTCGTCAGTCAATGAAAACACTGGGGTGCATATATCCCTTTGAGTTAGCATTTCGTATTCTTTGGGTAAATACCTAGTGGTGCAATTTCTATCTTTAACTTTCTGAGGAACCTCCATACTGTTTTCCAGAGTGGCTATATCAGTTTGCGTTCCCACCAGCAATACAAGAGCATTCCCCTTTCTCCACATCAATGCCTCTTATTTCTTGTGTTGTAGATTTTAGCCATTCTGACAAGTGTGAGGTGATATTTCATTGTAGTCATGAGTTCTATTTCCCTGACGATCAGTGATGGTGAGCATCTTTTCATGTGTCTGTTGGCCATCTACATGTCTTCTTTGGAGAAATGGCTGTTCATCTCTACTGTCCATTTTTATTGGATTATTTTGGGGAGGTATTAAGTATTGTAAGTTCTTTATATATTTTGGATATAACTTTTTATCAGATATGTCATTTGCAAGTAGTTATACTGACACAGTCACTCATAAGCACAATTTCAGGAGATGTCCTCTATTAACTCATAACTTAGCTCTGAGGTTTCCAGTCTTTAGGACTCTCCTTCTTTGCACTTTAAGGTCATTTAGTTTTCAGTGTCCTTTAGAATCTTCTCAACAATCTATGAAATTGAGAAAATCTGCTTGCTTCAGATGCAAATGAAGGTATCACTGGGGCTCAGTTTTCATCCACTCTTATAGTACCTAAGGGGAAGGAAAAATTCTTCCTCTACCACTCAGAGTCTTCCTGCTGGACTAGGAATTGGTATGAGACAGATTTACAGGAGAAAAAATACCCAGTTTTATTATGTGCTCATGGAGGCCCAATAATGAAATTGATTCCTAAAGAAATGACCAAGGCAGGTAGCTTTTATACTTTTTAGACAAAGATCCAATAAATCTGTGAGAAATTGACAGGACAAAGAAAACTTAACTCTGAAAACTTCAGTTAGTAAGGAATTCTAAACAGATTTGGGCTGCAGTTGAACATTGGTAAAAAGTTAACGAGGGTTGTTACAGCTCTAAACTCTGTCTCTGGCAATAAGGGTGTCTTCTTTACTTTCTGGTACAGGGAGGGGACCTTTCACTTGGGAGATTCATTTTGTGCTTTCACCAACACAGAGGAAGATCTGAATGTCCTTCTTGTATGGGCTGTCTCTTAAGTAATTTTTATTTAAAATAATCAGTATCCAAAGTGGCCCATCTTGGGGCAACTCACTCTTGGCACTCTACATACCCTAAGAGTTTCTTTGTCCCAGTCCAAGCTGGAGTAGTCCCCTTAGGTAGGTAGTGAAAGATCAGGTGAGCAAAGATGACTGAGAAAGCAAATCATTCCTCCACAGAAAGCTCTGTAGAGCTTTCTGACTCCACTTGGAGGCACCAGGATCTTAAAACTTCTATGTACAGGAATATTTCAGTTCTCTAATGCCAGCCAAGGCTTGGGGGAACCAAGTATTTGCAAAATGGTCTAATCTGTCCAGAAATAGACCTTACTTTCGCAGGTATTAAATTCACTTCTGCCTTTTAGTCAGGGACTTCCACATACCTTATTAAGTAATCAACCAATCTGTCTTCATCATTACAGTGGTTTCTCCTGAGTAGCTTGTTAAAAGAAACTAATCTCCACAGTAGCATCATTGATTTTACATCTAATAAAAATCCCAAGTATTTACTCTCATGAGTTCTTCGTTTGTTTTTTAAAATGTACATTTCTACCTGAGCATATGTTGGTTTCCTTAGTCCACATCACCATTAGAACATTACTCCATATATAGCAAAAACGTTTTAATAAAATTTTTAGGTACTCCTGGATTTACAGTTCCTTCTCTTTCACATCCAAAGATTGTTTCCTTTCCATTTCCTGCATTAAGGACTGAGAAACACCTTCTAACTGCCCTGTGAAATCTTGTCATTACTAACATTCTGTACCTTCTGATACCATACATTGAGAAGGGCACATCACCTCTGTGGTATCATTCCCAATAATTCATAACTTAAATCTAATCACATAAAAACATGAGGCAAGCATAACTGGAAGAACCTTCTCTAAAATAGCTGACCAGTTTTCTTGAAAATCATACAAGTAACTCCCATTTTCATTAAACAAGCTGTCAAAAGCACATATTCTGTAAATTTGACAAAGATTAAAAATAGCTGAAAAAACATTTTAGGTAAATGTTTCATTAAATCAATGAGGTGATTAAAATGTTACCTGCCAGTTTGCCTAAAAGAAGAGTGTACAAATAGTTTTATAACACATTTCCATCACTTCTCTCTGCAGGCGACTCAGCTAATCTAACCTGCAGAGCTTTCTTTGGGTACAGTGGAGATGTCAGTCCTTTAATTTACTGGATGAAAGGAGAGAAGTTTATTGAAGATCTGGATGAAAATCGAGTTTGGGAAAGTGACATTAGGTAAAAATAATTTTTTCTTTTAACTAGTACAGTCAAAGTTAACATTTGCTCTGTTAGTGAACAGAAAGTGAGCTAAAGGAAAATAAAGGGGTTTTCCTTGTTTGGGAGGGGTTACTATTATGATAAAAATATCTCAACATTGAATCGCCAAGAGGCAAAACACTGTGGAGACTGACTGTAGAATTGCAAAACATGAATGCCATTTGCAAAGAACTTAAGGGAAATAGAAAAGAGTTTTTCCCTAAGAAATAAACGGAATATGAGACAAACCAAAATGCCATCAAATGTGGAAAATGTGATATTGTGCCTTTTGTTTATGAGCTCTTTTTTAGAAAATTGTCAAGAAGAAATATTAACAAGGACTCAACCAAACAGTCTCGTTCATTTCCTTTTATGTGTTTTTACATATTTGAGCCATCAAGTAGACCATAAAGCACTTGATAAGAATGATAAAGGATACACAAAATGTTTTCATTGTCTTTTTTAGACCCACTTTAAGGTCTAAATATTAATATAGGGGGAATGATAAAGAATGATAAATGATAAAGAATAACCATTAAAAAATACCATCTATTGGGAAGCCTGGGTGGCTCAATGGGTTAAGCCTCTGCCTTCCGCTCAGGTCATGATCCCAGGGTCCTGGGATCAAGTCCCACGTCAGGGTCCCTGCTCAGTGGGGAGCCTGCTTCTCCCTCTGCTTGTGCTATCTGACAAATAAATAAATAAAATCTTTAAAAAAAATTACCATCTATTTTGAGGGTGTAATGTTTAAACCTCTTTTACAAAACTTATTTATTCATTTACTTTTAAGTATTGAGGTATTCAATTATAACTAAACTTGTGCTTGGACATAGATACTCATCTTTAATCATAGTATAAGTAAGCAAGCATTATAAATAATAATTAAGTTATAACTGAATCAAAATGCTGATCGTGTGTAAATATTCACCGATCTGAAGCTCACATCTTCTGGGTATATATGAGCATTTAAGCTAAGGTTCCTCTTCCTAAATGTGTAAGTGAAAAAGTTTTGCAATAGCAAATAAAAAACATATAAAACTGTCATATAAGGTTATTTCTATTGGGATCTTCTTCCTGGCAACAAATACACAAGAATATTGCACTCCAGTTGGGTTCGGAAATACCTAGATGGACAATTCTCCAATATGTGCTAAAACGTTCCTGTACCATTTTTCACATTTATAAGTTCGCTATTATCCTTTAACCATATACTTTAAGATGTTAAAGTTAAAAGAGAACAATAAACTTCCTAACTTTTCCCCTCTTTTTGTGGGTGCTGAAGAAAGGGTCTAGAAAGGTGTATTTCTGTAATTCTACATTAGGAAGTATGGTGCAATATGAGTTACCAAACAGATGAGAGGGTGGAGGTGGAAACCTTCCACGCAGGGAAAGGGAGCCTCACTTGGAGGTTTTCCATTCACTCTAAAAGATTATGAAAACCTTTGACAGTGAAGTTAGTGTTTACCACTCATTTTAATGTTAGAATTAAGCACCTCCTCAGAATATTTAGTCTATGGGCTTATAATTTCATGATTCTTTTAAAATAGGCAATTGATTTGTATTGTTTAAAAAAAAAGAAAAAAGCCAGGCTAGAGCTTTCAAGTGAAATGTCAAAACAGCTCCGAAATCTTCTATTTTTCTTTAAAAACAAAACAAAACTAAACCAAACTGACCTATATAATTAGTCTCCCAGCCTAAGACATTAGAATTTCTTCTCTCACCTTTACTATATCATATTTCTTAAAAGGAAGGCAGTTTGTAAACTTTTCTTCAAGGTCTTTCTCACCTCTTTATTATGACAGTGTGATTGTCCTGCTAAGAGATATAATTAACTGCAACTTCATTAGCATCTCCAAAAACAAGCTTCCTCATTAGAAATGAAGAAGAAAAGCACATAATATAATTTAATTATGATAGCATCAATCGTAGCCAAATTTAAAGCACAGATGCTGTAGGTATTTTCACCTCAGATTCAGATTCATCTAATTTTTTTTTTCTCTTTCACGTCTGTGTATGTTTGTGTGGGGTTTTTTGTTTTGTTTTGCTTTATATTTTAGAATTCTCAAGGAGCATCTCGGGGAACAGGAAGTTTCCATCTCATTAATTGTGGACTCTGTAGAAGAAGGTGACTTGGGAAATTACTCGTGTTACGTTGAAAATGGAAATGGACGTCGGCACGCCAGCGTTCTCCTTCACAAACGGGGTGAGTGTCACCTTCTAAGCTTGAGTAGTCCTGAACCTGTAATGTGAGGGAAAGAATTGGGAACCAAAAAAATATTGTGCTTTTTTCCACATCAGTTTACCCTAAACAAAATAAGCACAATAGCATTAGGGCCATCGCAATGGATAACACAGTGGATGCGTGACTAGCTCAGGCTAGAGAATCAAATATGGATCCCTTGTTGGGCTCTACCCAAAATCTTGGGGTTGGCATATCACATCCCTAAGCTTCAGTTTCCTGATACTAGGCAATGGGGAAACAATGGTGGCAACTCTTTAGTGTGTTCTAAGGATGAATGAAGACAAGAAATGTTAAGAGCTTGGCACAGAACTTGTACGCAGGAGATAGGAAGTTAAATGCTATTTATTACTGTTGGAAATTAACAAACCAATCAAAAATAATGGTAAACTTTAAGTCAAAGATTGTGTTCTTTATTTGAAGGTTCTTCCTTTAGTGTTAAGAATTATGTCTGAGGGATTTCCCCATTGCAGTACTTCTTGAGTTTTTTCTGGCTTGGATAACTTTAGCATGTGTAGTATCTTCCCAAGATTAACAGTAATTAATTGATTAGTCATTTAAAAACTAACACTCAGTTATTATTCATTAATGATAATTCAAGGAAGATAGATTTTGGTTGAGTACCATATCTGCTGCACTAAAATCTGATTCCACAGCAACCCCAACACAGTAGGCACAGGGTTAAAATATGTATAAATATATATTGAATTTGTTCAAATTGGAGACTATTAAAAAACAAAATTCGACTGAGTACATTTGTAGATCTAATTGGCTTTATTAAATGACTCATGAATAAGGCAGCTCTGAGCAGTAGCTCAAAATGGGCGGTTTTTATAGGAAGGAGGGTGGTGCAAAAATTTATTAACGGAAGAAAGAAAGAAAGGATTGGTTCAAGCCTGGACACTTTCTTTGGGGGCTGAGTACAGGGACAGGTAGGGGTTTTTGTTGTTACTGGTGGTGTTTTTTTTATCATGCAGATGAAGTCACTGGTGCTGATAGGGGAAATTTCAGATTGACTTTTAAAAGGTCACACTCCTGAGATAGGTCAAAACTGTAATTAAGTCTTGATTTGCTATTGGGGAGGGGAGGCAAATGACTCCAGTTTGGGCTTGTTTTTTGTGTTTTTTGTTTGTTTGTTTGTTTGTTTTTTACAAAACAGTTGTGAACTTGGAGCTGTGCCTTCATTGCAGAAATTTTTCATGTGCGATACAAAAGAAAACTAGTTTTTTTCCTACATTATGCTAAGTGAAAAGTTTCCAGCTTTGGAAACAAGTATACTTGGCATTCTCTTACTCAGCAAATTTATAATGATTTTAATTTCAAAGCAGAAGTTTAATCCTAGATGCTTTGAGGTTGAAAAAGAAAGAGAGCATTGAAGACTGCCCCCCTCCAACTTTATTGGGCAATAGATTCTCTTTGAACAATGCTACTGAAAGCTATTAAAACAGACACCTCTGTTGTCAGGAGACTACAATATTAAAAGAGTCTACCTTTGGGAGATGTGAGTAGAGGGGAAAAGTAAGGACAGGTAGCAATGATTGTTTCTTTCTGTAGCTTAACATATATAGTCAATGAAGGAATTGAGAATAGAAATATGATACATATGAAAGGACAGAAACAGCTTGCCAGGGTTGGAGACAACTTAAATGTTGTGTAATTGAACCATTCCATAACATATTGCTAAGTGATCAGTCACTTTATACTGGATCATATTCCCTCTCAAGGAAGCCAGCTCTATCTCTGAAAAAACCTATTAGAAAGCATCCCTATTTCACTGTCTGCCCACCCCTTGACCCCATTTCTACACTTTTAATCTCTGTTCCCCAAAACAGCCCATCAAAAGTTTGTTGACCTTTGCCATGATCCTTCCAAGCCTTTACTTCCTAGATTCAACTTGCTTAGTTTCTTTTATTTCTTCTTCCTTTCTGATGATACAGTACTTCCACCATCTTGGTCACTCTCTTGAATATGCTCTAATTAAAGAGTCCGAATTATTTCTCAAGAAGGGAAAGAGTGGAGAGATGATATAGGACACATATAAAAATCTGTTCACTTGGACAACGCATTTCTTTTTAGGATGCAGTAGGAGTAACAGTAAAGTATTGCTTGTCAAGGAGCAAGAATTCCTGTCTTCTTAAGGGTCCTTCTAGCTGAATTAAGAATCAAATTGACATGAGACAGATTAACAGGAGAAAATCAAATTTAATAGTCTCCGTATGGGAAATCCTCACAGACATGGAAATTCCAAAGACGGGCAAAATGAAGCATATATGTTATCCTGAACTAAGAAGGGGGTAGGGCTCTGGGACTTCAGAGGAAAGGAATGTAATTCACAAAATGATAAGAAGAACAGATGTTTGGTAATTAGATGTTTACCCTGCCATACAGATGGATCACTCAGATAAAACTTATTTCTGCTAATAACCCTTATTCTGGAAAAGACCCTCAATTTCCAGTCTTCTATGTAGTTAAGGGAAGGGCAAAAGTTTCTCTTGAGCCCTTAGGGTCTCAGTTGCCTTCAGTTTATAATAATCTTCATGCCAGAGTGGTCTGTCTTAGGGTGGCCTGCCCTTGGCCCCTACACCATCATAAAGAGGAAAGAAGGAAAATGAATTGTTTCTAAGGAGGATAAACTGTTAACGCTCTGTTCTTAAAGACAGGCACAAAGCCAGGAAGGGTCAACACCCCCAGGCTATTTTTAGCATGTGTGGCCCAAGGTTAAGTTGCCCACAGCTACAAAAGCTTTCAGACTACAAAAATAGATGATTGAAGAATCAAGGAAATTACTTGAAAAACTTTCCCAATACTGTCGGATTCCCTAAACATGAAGAAGAAAACTGTGGCCAGTGTTGGAGCAGTCTTTAACACTAAAATCCACAACGGTTTTCAAATATGTATTTATACTAAGAGAGCATTTTGTTTTTAGTAAAATAAAAGCATTAAGAAGCCGAAAAGTGTTCTTCAAGGTCATGTACTCCAGAAGTCCCTTTTAAACTTAGTGTGTGTCGGGCCCCTGAATGGCTCAGTCAGTTAAGCACCTGCTTTCAGCTCAGGTCACTGAGACCCGTGTCAAGCTCTCTGCTCAGTGGGGAGTCTGCTTCTCCCTCTGACCCTCTTCCCTCTCAGGCACGCTGTCTCTCAAATAAATAAATAAAATCTTAAAAAAAAAAATAAATAAAGTTAATGTGTGCCTTCCTTCAAAGAGAGCCTTGGGAAATGAGTGAGTCATCAACTCACAAAGGCAGCAAGGCATGCAATCTCCTGCCCTAGAGATGCTTATAATCATGGGAAATGGTCTATCCCAATCATCTTAGGGAAAAAGAAAGGACTTTGGTTAACAGGTGGCATAACAGCAAGCTCCCCAGCCCTGTGAGGTTCAGAAGGTCAAGACACAATGCATGGTAGGCTTATAGTTGTGGTCTTTGATCACAGTGTTCCTGAAAGAGTCAAGTTATTGTCATGGTAGCAATTATGTAATTATAAGATGAATTGTTCTGTCACTCAGAAGACTAAAGCTCAGAGAAGAAACTAGAAGATGTCACTATTAATCATAATTTCCTGCCATTTATTCATAAATCCCTTAACTTATCTTACAGGCCTTCAAAGTCTTTCATTTTTAAAACCTCCCAAAAGACCTACGTTAAAGTATTTGATGCATACAGACCTTGCAAACCAGAATCATCAGGTCTTCTGACAAGTAAACTTGCCAGGACACACCTTTGTGCAAGTTTCTTAAGCATTTTTTCCTCTACCGTTAACCTTTTGCTCAGTATCATTGATGTAATAAAAATGATGTCCGAGCCTTCCAATGGGTGTGTGTGTCAGGGTAGAAAACCTTTTCTTTTTTCCTTTCTAGGTTCTGTGGCTGGTCTAATAATTAAATTGACATAAGACAGATTAACAGGAGAAAAACAAAATTTAATTTCGTACGTACAGGAGTCCCAGAGATATGAGATCCAAAAACAAGTCAGGCAGTTGAGGCTTAAAAGCTGTCCTGAGCTGAGGAATGGCACAGGGGCCTGGGGCTTCAAAGGAGAGGCGGGTCATTCACAAGGCAATAGGAAGAGCCCATGTTGGGTAATTAGTGGTTTGCTCTATCATATAGTCAGGACTTTCAGATGCAAAGTTATCTCAAGTAATAGATTTCTTTCTGGGCCAGGCCCCCTATCTAAATTTATTTGGATAGTTAAGGGAGACCTAAAAGTTTTTCTTGAGTCAGCTGTGTCTTCATTGCCCTTAACTCAAAATAATCCTCATGCCCAAGTGGCATATTTTGGGATGGTGAAACCTGCTACCCTTATGGATTCTTTGAGCTATCACTCACGTGTATTAAATGAGTCTTCCTTAATGCTGTGAGGATACTACAATGATTCAGCTAGGATTGAACTAGGCTGGATTCTGGACCAGGGTTTTATCTTTTTTTTTCCCCCAGGCTTTTATCTTAAAAATCAAACAAACCTAACCTGAAAAAGCATAAAGTCTCTAAAAAAAGAAAAAGAAAAAGTTTCTATGAAAATATTGAAATTGGGGCCCCTGGGTGGCTCAGTGGGTTAAAGCCTCTGCCTTCGGCCCAGGTCATGAACCCAGGGTCCTGGGATCGAGCTCTGCATCGGGCTCTCTGCTCAGCAGGGAGCCTGCTTCCCCCCCACACCCCCCAACCCCGCCTGCCTCTCTGCCTACTTGTGATCTCTGTCTGTCAAATATATATATATATATATATATATATATATATATATATATATATATTCAAAATTGTTGATTTCTGCAGCCAGGGAACGTACTTGGATAGTTAAGATCATGTCAGATATGCAACATAGATATATTTCACATACTCTACAGAGAACTAGATTATGTGGTGAACGGGAGATAAAAAATGAACTGGCAAGGGTCATGGGGCTTACAGTCCTCACTCTAGTCCCTGACCTGAGAAACTTGCTTGGAAAAGAACGAAAGCGCAGAGATAG